GCTGAATCAAGACCCACTCTCCAGCAGCTGCTGGAGCTGGTCCCAATGGGCTGTAGTGGTAGAGAAGCTTTGGCCCAGCCCCAGCTCTCTTCCCTTTCCCAAAGGATGTCATTCCCATTCTGGAGCAGAGCACGATGGATGTTTCCACCACTATCAACACAGACAACATCCAGTGCAACACAAATACTCTCACGGTTTACAAAGCATATTCCTTCACTCTCCTCCTGCCTTGCCTGCTTGAATTCAGAGATGGCCAACAACTATTAAACACATCAATGTAAATGTTAGTAGATTGCTTCTAATAGGAAACAAAAATGTTTTGAGCAAAGCTAATTGCCGGGAAATAAGGTCGTTCCAATATTTCAGCAGGGGGTTATAAATCTCTTGGTTCCTGCCTCCTTCCAGCATTAAGGTTTTACAGATGTTGCTGTCAGAAGAAGAAGAATGATTTCAGATGCTTGTTTCCACTGTACATTAAAAAAAGAAGGGCATAAATGTGTGCAGCTAATTGCTGGGCAAGTTTTTTTTCTATAAGAGAAAAACCACACAAATCTCAGACAACAAAATATAGAAAATCTGCATTGGGACTCCTAAAAATCTTATAATTATGATACAAAATGTTCAACACATTGACAACTGGCAAAACTTTAACACGTAATTCAAGCCAGCCAGTTGCACTGACTGCCAAATTGCTTGATCCAGTCCTCTGCTGCTTTTTCACTCTTCTGCACCAACAAATATTCACTGTACATGGAGGGACCCTCTAGACCCAAAAGAAGAATGTGAACCATTCCATTTTTTCCTGAACTGGAATAAGAGGATGAGAAGAGTCTAAACAGCCACTAGAAAAGTGAGCTGTTTTCTTGAAAAGCTAGACCTAGTCCCAAAATTCAAATACTAAGAGGCCAAAGAGAATAAAGAAAGCTTATAAAATGTATAAGATGATGATTAGGGAAGAAAAGGAGACTTGGTGGCTGTCTCCAAGCTGTCTTGCCAGGGTAGTTCATCATTTGCATGGGAAATATCCATGAAAGGGGCTGGCTCAGTGGCTGATGAGCTCTTGGGAGCACCCAGACAGCTCCAGAACTGAGGTGAAGCTCCCCAGCCCAGCCCCATGCTGACACCCCACTGGACACACACTCTGCTTTCTTAGGAAACTATTCCCCAGGCAGAAATATCTCAATATTTAAAAAAAAATGAAAAAAAAAATGAAAAAAAAAAGAAATACCTATGAAATAAAACTCTCAGCTGCACAACCAATTTTCTTCCTGGAAAAGCAGGGGAAACAAGGAGAAGACCAAAGACAGATTGCCACAGTTCAGAGGTTAGTCCCTGAAGGAAGCTGCCCATTGAGTTTCCCATCATTGTTTTAATTGGGATAATGTAAGCATTGCAGAGGACAATGCTCTGGCTGTGGCTTAACACCACCACAAGACCTGGGTCATGTCCCCAGTCAAGCAAGTGTCCACACTGTCAGCAGTGCCTGCACCCAGCATCCAAACCAGGCACCTGCCAAAGGAGGACCTGAGTGGGCTCTGGATGCCCTCGTCCAAAACTACCGTCACAAAAGCCAAGGCAGCTGAAGCCCAGATGGGGGCACGTGCACAAGAGTGCACAGCTTTGCTCAGCTTTAACTCAATGAGCCAATTCAGCTTTCACAGGTGTCACTGTCACACATTGCAGAGTGTTAAGGTGACCTTTCTTTCCAGCAATGCACAATCCACTCATTCTCCTCCAGCTTCACTTCCTTTAACTCCTCAACACCATCCAAAGGAGGGGAGGGCTCTGCATCCCCCATGCCCAGCATCCCCAGTGGCCTCCTTGGGGCTCAGTGGCTTCCCCTTCAAGGCATCAGGTTTGCTCCAAACACGCCTGACTCGAGCCAAGGGTCCAGGACCTCTCACAAGAGGCATTTGGGCTGCTTTATTTTTCCAGTTCAGTAGAAACTGTGACTCTGCTGCTAAGAAGCCTGGAGCCCACTCTGAAGATTATGGGCCTGTTCCAGATTTACACTGTTTTTCCTTAAGCTCAGAGATCACCACTGAGCTGTCTCTCATTCTGTTTTTGGCACTTTCTTTCACTTTAAAAAGCAATCATACTCCCTCCCCCAAAATAAACCAACAAAAACAACATATCCAGACAAGGGACCATCCAGTTCAGCTCCTTTAACGTTCCCAGGACAGCAGTACAACTTATCCAACTGTGGTGGGGTTACACTTTGTATATGATTTCCACCAGACACAAGCGGCACTGCTTAAAAAAATAATCCAGGCCAGAAATAACCCACAGGGACAGAAGAGAAGTCCAACATCTCTCTTACTCAAGTAGAGGGATTCATGTTTTCCTCAGAAACCAGACAACTACGGCATATGAAGAAGCAGCTATGTGTCCATCTCAAATCTCCCAACACTCACACATGGCTGCACCCCAGGGGCTGTATTCATGCTCTCATTTTCCATCTCATGGCTACTCTACAGGACCCATGAGTGGGGTTATGTTTAGGCCAGCTGGACCTGGCACTGATACCTGCAGCTGGAGAAGATAAGGATGCTGAGATGGCCCATTTCAGGACCAGCCTGTTAAATCACAGAGGTCAGCATGGCATCTCCAGGCATCCCTGGACATCGGCAGGTCAGCACCTCCTGAGCTGTGAGCTCGGGGAACCCACTGAGGAGGAGATGCCCCAGCAGCTCCACGCAGGCCATGGCCCCAGCCCCGTGCAGGGGGGTGGCACAGCTGCCAGGTGTGCGCTCCAGGGTGCACATTTGGGGAAGGCTCCTCCGCCCTGGCTGTAAATACCAGCCCTGACCACAGGACCCCAGCGGCTGCTCGCATTCTTCCAGCAGATGTGCCAAGACAAGCCGATGTGAGGCTCTGTAATCAGAGGTTTGTTGGCCTCCCGGGACCAGTGAAAGCCCAGACTGGGGACTGAACCGCTGACTCGAGCGCACAGGCAACCGAGCTCTGTGAGGGCCACAAGCAACTGAGGAATGATTTAGGAGATGAGACCTTGAATTTGCCAATTATTTATCTTGTTGATGACTGAGACAAGCAGTTTTACTGTCCAATCCTTAGGGGAAAACATGTGGAACTAATCAGGTTACACCAAAATAAAAAAGAAAAATATCAAATTAACATAAAATAAATTGAACGATGCACACAATACCAAACCTGATTTTTCCTTCCAAATAGGCACTGTATCTGAGATGCTTGTTCTTGCTCATTTATTATTCTTCAGCTTTTAAAGAGCAACACATGGCAGCAGAAGTCATTTTTGCAAACACAACAAAACATTCTCTTCACAAGGAAAGGTAATAGCTGTTTATTCAGCAGGGCCCTCCTATTCATGATATTGCCATCTGAAAAGAAGAATGTCCTTGAAAATAATAATAAACCAAAACTTTTTTTTTTTATTAACTTAGAAAGAGACCAATTTCATTATTAAACCAGCCTATATGAGCAAGGTTTTATGCCAAAAGGAACCATGGGTTTGTTGCCTGTTAATGCAGGCTAAGGAGGAGACAAGATGTTTTAATGTTGTCTGGGACATTTGGAGGCTTTTACCTTTTGTGCCCCAAAACCTTTGGGAAAAATCACTTCAGCTCCATTTATCAGGAGCTAGATGCCTAATTCCTACTGAGGTCCACATTTTGGGATCTTGTAGGATTTGGAGCCTGGGATGGGACACAGTGATGTCCAGAGCTGCACCCTCCCTGGGACCTCAAGGCTTGACTTTGGGACAGAGGCTCCTGCTTCCTGCCCATTTCACTGCCTCCTCCTCAACACAGCCTCCCAGATAACATCAGCCCAAGTGATTATGTCCTTCCCAGGCCAGCAAACCAGATTTTCTGAATGACCTGCCCAGATCACTTCTCATCAGCCTCATGCACTGGTCAGTGCCAGAGCTCTTCCTCTACACAAGTCACCAGGTATTGTTCTGGAGCCAGACAGTTTTTCCCTCCTTGTGTTCACTGAAAGGCTGAGAATTTCATTGCTGGAGCCACTCATTTCACCCACGCTCCAACGACTTGTGTCCCCACCCCATCATCAGGTCACTCAAACTTGCCCTTCCACTGTGCTCCTCCTGTTTGCCTTCTCTTCTCCACTGCACTCTGACTGACATGCTTAAAGACGGCCCTGTCAAGTAGGCCGTGGTCTGGGGCCAGGAAGGGAAAAGACCACACTCAGCAGGGAAAGGTACCTGCTGTGAGAGCTTATTTCATCCCTGTCAGAGGGATTATGTTTCACCTGGGGTATATCATCTCCCCATTGAATCAGCCCAAAGCTCTCAAACTAGGCCTCAGCAGAGAGTATCCCAATGCTCGTCCATCCCCTAAAAGCTTCCTGGCAGCTGCTGGTGCATTTGTTACTTATGATGGGTATTTCAAGCAGTTTCATGGTTTTGTTTCCTATCAGGGAACAGCAAGAGCCCGGTTTCTGCCTGTCTCACCCCCATCCACCCCAGACCCACACTCTCACCCATGGGAAGAGGGCCGACTCCCAGGGCTCCTCTCACCCACAGAGCGTGGGGGACCTGCAGCCACCCCGTGTGCCTGCCATTCCTCCCATCCCTACCCACAGCTGCCTGCTCTAAGAGACCTCAGTGGCCTCAACAGCAGGTCTGTCCACAGGCCTGCAAGCCTTCCCATCCACCCCACTTTCACTTCAACAAACCTTTCATCTGGAATGCACCTTCACCGCAGCCACAAGGCAGAGGAGACCAGGCAAATATCACAGAGCAAGTGACAGCACACCTTAAAACAGAGCCTCATGCAGCATCCCAGACTCTTTCCTTTTAGTAAAGAAAGACAATCAGCTTCAGGCTGACTTAAAAGATTGAGCAGGATGATGACAGCTCCCATTTCGGGGAGAAAGGCAGAGGGAGAGGGGATTTGGTTTCAGACTAAACCCTTGCGGCAGGCTCCCATCAACACACACCCAAGGTCACACGTGGGAGGCAGCTTCTTTAAAATAATGGGAGAGCTTGGGGCTTTATTTACCTTTATTTACCAGAGAGTCTTTTTAACTCTGCTGGTGGCGACTTCACCCCCATGGACATTGTGGGAAGCTGAAAAAGTCACCCCTAAAGAAGGAGGTTTTGGAGATCAGTGTCTGTGTGTGGGGATGGGTTGAACAGAGCCCAGATGTGTCCCATGTCCCCATGGATGCCCACCGGGTGAACCCATCCCACAGACAGGGTTTCACACCTACAATACACAGCCCAGTACCACTTGTCCACTGGTGCCCTGTCCCCAGCCTGCAGGTGTCCTACACAAGGCAGGCTCAGGCTGACTGCCAGCAGCAGAATTCCTCCCTTCCACTGACCCACTAGACACGGGAATGTTTTAATGCACACCCAATTTTAGGCACACAGAGAACCCACCTCCTCTGCTCACACCATCACAAGACAAAAGCACAAAAAGGTCAAAGCCAGGAGTTTGCTGGGGAGCAGAGGGTCTGTCAGTGCAGCCAGGCACAGCAACAGCCAGCAGGTCCACAGCAGCATCTCAGCACTGGGACTAACAGTTCTCATTTGTCTTATGCCTCTCAGGTGCTAAAAACATCTTTTTGCAGCAGAAAAGGGAAAATGGCATCAGCTGTACATGAAACAGAGAACAGGGCTGGTGGGTCATGGTCATTCTGTCTCACCTCTGTCACCTGCAAAGGAGGGGTCGGGGTTTACTCATGCAGGTCACTTAGCCCATTACTTAGAGCTGGCTCTAAAACTGACTTCAAACCGAGCCAAGAAAAGAGCAACCCCTCAGCATCACACGTGCTGCTGACCTGTGGGCAGGGCAGAGCAGGCAGATCTTGCCACCAGTCTGACAAACCAGGGCAGCTCCTCCAGCAAGCAAGGTTCACTGACTTGCTACAGATGTGTGATAATTCATTTAACCTTCAGCATTTCTTTCACCTATTATCCTTTACTCATTGTTCTCCATTTAAATTTAAAACCTACAGTACAGAGACAGCACGGGAAGTTTTCCCACTGAAGAGAACTAGCTGTGCTTGCTTAAAGCTTTCAACACTAGAGTCAGAGGGAGTTGGGTAGGATTTTTTTTTTTTCTTTAAATAAAGTGCCAAGAGATGTCACAGAAATCTGAGTCCACTTAAAAAGAGAAAAAAAAAAGCCCAAACCATCTTTCCTACTCCTTGTGGTTACTGGAAAGAAAGAAACAAACAAAAAAAAGGAAACAAAGAAAGAAGAAGAAGAAAAAAAAAGTCAAAAACCAACGAAAACCAAGCTTCAGATGTTTTCTAACCGGATTTCATGCTCCCTGAGTGCCTGGCAGGCTTTCCAGTCACGAAGGTTTTGGGATACTAAAGTCCCTCCCCTTAAGTAACTCCTCAGTTATCAAACTCCTCAGCATCTTAGGATCTTTGAGGCATTTATTGGTGGGGAAAAGGGACCAGGAGCATGGGAAAGACCTGAGCTTGATAAGGACCTCTGCCTAAGGTATCCTAAGGTTTTGGGCTCCAGTGACCACTCTGCCTCCAATAATGCCCTGTGAAAGGGAGCTGCACAGTCCTTGGCACTAGCCAAAAACACCCCAGCACTTTTCCCTCGCCCAGACAACCCAAAGGATCCAGAAACTTTGCCCCCTGAGCAAATTAATGCAGCAACAAGCAAACCGAGAGCTCTCACCTGTGCTCCTTTCCCGGATCCCAAAGCTGGGGCTGCAGGATCAGCACTTTCCTCGCTGTGTGTGATATTCTGTCAGCAATTCCACACTGACTTCTGGGGCCAGTAGGAGCCCAGTTAGCAAATGCCTGTCCTCACCCATCTGGGCTGGGTTCGCTGCTGGAACCAATTAGAACAATTAGCAGCACATCAGTGTTTTTGCTAAGGACTCTCACATGTAGGAATTTGCCAAAGACCTTACCCATTTCCTCGCCTGTCAGCATCTCCTCTGCCGCTTGTGGGGGCTCTCATCTCCCCACTTCTACCCCTTTCCCCCACAGCTCATATTGTTAAGGGAATGTGCAATTAAGAGAGGAAACATTAGCGTAGATAAGGCAGGAGTTAATGAATTGTTCATGATGGAAGAATAACAACCGAGCTAATTAAGGGTCTTCATATGCCTCCTCCAACCTTCATTAGCTGCTGTGGTGACCCTGTACCTGGTGACTCAGACAGCAGAAACCTACCATCTCTCCCAAAGAGACCCAAAATCTTCCTTAGCCAGAGCCGTCTCTATCAGTGTCAGTTAATGGATGCATCATTTTCCCCTAATTTTCGAAATTAAGGTTATGACTTTCAATTATTATTATTAATGCTAATGTCACTTGTGCCTTTTTCTTCTCATTAACTGATGTTTTTAACTTTTAGAAACACATGTCATCTGAAACAAAATTATCTACTCTTTTATTCTGCAGTGCAGATGGACTTTAGCAGGCTGGAGATGACTGCTGACAGATATCACATCCTTCAAGGATGACTGGACATCCAAGCTAGTTTTAGTTCTGAGACTCTGCCCACAACAATTATGATAAATTCTTCTTGAGGCACTTTTCTACCAGCATCAGCAGGTGTTCTAAAAATTGCATTGATGAATTTCCCAGCAAAAAGCCCCTCTCTTCTCAGTCCCTTGGAAAAACAGCAAAATCAATATCTTGACTTAAAAACCAGGACTAACTTTGGAGGCAAATGATTCCCAGTTCCTTGAAGAAGTGCAGCGAATTCTCCTAAACCCCAGTAGGCCTGTCCTTCTTAAGGAGCCTTGTCCTGTTAACTGTGGTGAGCTAGGAGCCCATTTGGTCAAATTTGAGCAGTTGCTCTTTGCAAAGGCTATTTCTCCTTTGGCCAGACATGTATGATGTACTTCTGCCAAATCTGAGAGTGGCTTTGTACATTGATTTCCCCATCTGTCATACAGGCTGCTTAGGAAACGGGAACACATCTAAGCAGAGGGGAAGAGGAATAGATAATTAGAGGAAAAGAGGAATAGCTCTGTTGCAAAGGGGCTATGAATCCTTAGTGCTGAGCCCCCAGCACTGTCTGGGAAGTGTCACAAGACCCAGGTGTCACTGGGATAGCAGAGATGCTGAGCCTACCGGGGGGTGGCTGCTGGTCCCAGTCCTGCCCATGCCCCACAGTCAGAGTTACTGGCCATGCCCCAGCATAAAATGCCGTCAAAACAAAGTCTAACCATGCTGGCACCTCCACCCTTCTCATTTCTGCCCAGCACCAGCCAAGATGCCAACTCTATTCTCTCTTTTCCCATTCCCCTACCCTGAGGTTCTTTTGGGAAAGCATAGGCTTGTTACTGCTGAAGGATACTCAGGTAGCATCTGCACAGCCATGCCTGAGGAGTAAATTAATCCATGCTTTTTCATCAGAGTCATTGGGAAGGAATATTAGGATAGAAGAGCAGCTAGAACATTTTGACAAAAAAACATCTATCAACAGTCAAAATAAGGTTTTGTGCTCCTACTGTCTTTTCTCTCTAAAATTTTCCTGTGGAAGGGAATCAGGTCATTATCACTCAGCTCTTCCCAGCAGCTTCACCTTTAGTGTCCCCTCTGCCATCCCAGTGTAGACCTCATTTCTGAGGCACTCTGGGATGGAGAGACACCAGGAATACTTCTCTGCTCTGGTACCAGGTATCAAACTACTTCACTAGTGGTAAACTCTCACTCAAGATTATCCCAGAAAGTTACCTTTCGGTCCATGCTGTCACGAATGTAGTTGCATAGAACAGCCAAAATAATTATGTTGTCCCTATCTAGCTACTTGTCTTCATTAGATATAAATAAAATGACAAAAAAAAAAAAAAAAGGCAGCAAGTTGTTGTCAAGTTACCAACACAGCAGATTCATCTCAGTGCAACAAAGAACTAATCAAAAATCTAATTCTTTATAAGGATTTTTTTTTTTTTTTTTAGTTACACAGTTAAAAACACTCAGGCTTTTAAACTAAAAATCAGGTCTTCCAACACACGAGCACACTTGTGCATCCCATGGATGCCGGTTCCAAGCTGCATCCTGCTCTCCGCGAGCCTTGCACCCCTCCTTGTGGTGCATCGAAGCAACTGTCGTGTGAGCAAAATCCTCTCTGCTGGGCTTTGCCTCCCAAAAAAGAGCAGAGATATCCATCATCTCTGGCACCAAGCACCACCTCCTTCACGTTGTGAACGTCTTCGAGCTGGAGATATAAACAACTCCTGCTTCTTACTAGAAGTCAACTCTAGGCACTCGTTTCAAACATCATTAAACTGGAGGGAATAGAAATGTGTGGCACATTGAAACAGTTACACTTCTCAATCTTAATGTTTGTTTAAAGGTTACTTTTGGATGAAGGCTGGTTAGAGAATAAATAACAGATGCTGAAAGCATCCATTATGTATTTTTGCAATTAGCAGAAAATCTTGGTACTTTTCTTGAAGAACATACATAATTTTGTGGGATGTTTATTGCTGGAAGCAATCTGCTCTGGCTGGCAAGAGCAGCATCCAAGAGCCCAGGGAAGCTTCACAAGGACTCACACACAGTAAGCCAAAAGCAATGCTTGCTTCAGCAGCAGCACTTAAAGCCCTGCTCTTGCTGTCGTAAGGAAGTGGTCAAAGCACTTTCTTTCCACAGAAAATTTTAAATTAGAAAGAACACAGTGAAATCATCTCTGTTTCTTTTCCACAAACATTTTGATTACACAGCAAAAAAATGGTTCCTGATTATACTTTCATTTGAAAAATGCACCCAGGATGTTTTCATGCTATTGTTGTCTTCTCTGCCCAAAGGGCTTCCTTGATGGCCCAGCTACCACCTCCCCTCTTGCGGTGTGGAGATACTGTTACACCTTGGAAACTCTTGTGCATCCAGCATGCATGGCCTGGAAGGGAAAATGGAACTAAGGAAACCACTACAGCTCCCAGAAAGTATCTCACTCTCATAAAAATTTGTGTGTGGAACCTGAGGTGGAGCAGCAGCTTTAACTGTGCCAGTCCTCCCTCTCCCTGATGACTTCTATCATATCCAAATGAAGCTGAAGGGGGTATTCAGACAGAACAGAGGTATTTGAGTTAGAACACACTACAGAACTCAGCATACCTGGTCAGCATAGCTGGGAACTCAGCTGGCCTCGTTTAAGAGGACAACAGTAGTAATGCTCTGAGCAGAAGCCTAAAGAGTTGCCCTCTGCTCAGTCAGGAGAGGACCACCAGATATTACATCCTCCATACACCCTCATAGATCCTGGTGGTCTTGAAGACCTCCACCATAGATTAGGCTTTAATCCCAAAACTCAATCTAATTCTATCCCCAAATCCCTTTTTATACCTTTTGGCACGAAATAAAAGCGCATGCTGAGAACAGAAGTTGTCCAAGATACCATTTTCACGTACCATACCCAGCCCATCACACTTTGGTAGTCACACAGCAATCTGTGCCATTTCTTACCACACAGAAACAGCATTGTGCTAAAAAGCCCTCCAGAGTAAAGCAGATAATATCTTTTGGGATGGTGCCTTGTATTTTCCAAGAGTTGTCTCACTGCAGCAGTTGTTATAAGAAACTAAACCAAACCCTCCTATTTGTAAATTGGATCAAAAAAGCACAACTCAAACTGGTATTTGGTTTAAGACTGAAGGGTTCACACAGTGCTTAAGAAGCATTTTAGACAAAAGCAAGCTTTCTGCCAAACATTTGAGGGGAAAGAGAAAATTTCTGCTTTGCTGTCTGAACGCAGTTAATAAGCCAGGATGAAGAAACTGCCTGGCATTGCTGCCCACAGTAAAATACACTGTGCATCTCACACTTCACATGCAAGGCTCATGTTGCCTTCATTCTGCCCAGTATAGTTTCTACAGTGTTATCCTAAAGAAAATTTCCTGTCTCCACAATCCCTGGCATTAAAGGTGGAAGACTCAGAGGGGAAATGAGGAACTTGCAGGCAGGGAGTGCTTTTGCATTAATTTCTATACAGCACAATCATGAAATAGCTGGACCCCACAAGCATTGCTGCCCTGTACAACAGGTACTTATCCAAAGCTGAAGTCTTACAAGTGAAGCAGAATTGACTGAGCTTCTCTAAGCATCTTCTCTCCCCTATCTCTTCAACTATCTCACTTGCCTCCATTGATGCACAACTGGTCACTGCTGGTTTAACATCTCGTGACTGAGGAGGTTTTCTCGTGCAATTGCTGCTAAGCAGTGTGCTGAAACAAGGCAGACACAGCTCATCTGACTCACAAAGGAGAAAAGAGCAGAGGTACTACACAGATTTCCTGTAGCTGGAAAAAAAACCAAAAAAAAAAAACCCCAATGTGCTTTATGTCGGTTTTTTAACGGCTTATGTACCAAGTTCATGTCAGAAACAGGTTCAGATTTCTCCAGATGAAGGTTTAAAGGTTTTCTTTATTTAGTAAGGCACATAGAGATTGGCAAGAGCACCCCCTTCCCTATCCCAAAGAGCATCTGCAATTCAGAAAGGTAAGGAAAAGGCATTAAAAGGCAGAAAGCAAAGAGGATAGAGCATACCTCAGCTGAGCAGATTAGAAGACCCAATAAAGACACCTATTGTTACCAACAGAAATACTCTACAAATACACAGGCTGAAATCCACCATCTTAAGCTAAGCAATCCATGAAAAATAGCAGAGAGATCCAAGATTAAATTCTTCTGTGCTCCCCTATCTCCACTGGAAGGCTTATAAAGGTCTGCAGATCATAAGAGTGTACACACTGCTGCCATATGAAACCACGTATTAATATTTTTATATTATCTAATATTTTGTCTCCTTTGTTACCTGATCAGGCAAATCCTCTTCACATTTCTTGCAGTTTTCATTATCAGCCATTAACCCTGGGATGTTTGGACT